CAATCGTTGAGGAAAATTTTCAAGGGATATCTCATCGTATTTGTGAATTGTTGTGATTACGAAATTTACTTTCAGACTTAAGTTTTAGACCACAAAAAGTTGGATTGTGATAACAAGGATGCAATCGACATTGCTCACAATCTTGTTCAACATGATCGAACTAAATATGTTGAAGTGAATCGACATTTTATCAAAGTGAAATTGGAAGTGGGACTAATTTATGTACCGTTGTTTAAGTTTGAAGATCAACTGGCAGATATTTTTACAAAAGCTATGTCTAGCAAAGTATATCATAGCTCACTCGAGTTGGCCATTGGTCACATCTATGCACCGATTTTTTTTTTTAGGAAAACTAATAAAAATGGCTTTAAAACTTTAAGTTTTAATCAAAATGACAAAAAAAGTATTGTAAGTAAATAGCACTAGGAGTAACTTTTTAGAATAAAAATTGTGAACACGGAAAATTCCTGAAACGAAAGAGACAAGAACAACGTGCACAAACAAATATTTGTATTTGATGATTTTGGGTTACAATCTCTCTCAAATTTGATCCTCTGATTCAATCTCCGTAAGGTGTTGATTTGTGGATGTGCGATTGATCCAAAGGGCCGTTGGGCTTGATCTAAGGATGAACGTTCTTCAAGGGCCGTGGACTTGATCTTGAAGGTGGATTTGAGCAGATCTTCAAAGGGGCTTTTGGGCTTGATCTTTGAAGAACAGTGATGAACGGATATCCAGGGGCTTTTGGGCTTTGATCTTGAAGAACGGTTGGACGTGTGGATTTGTTGATGTTGTTGATCCAAGGGGCCGTCGGGGCTTGATCTTAGAATAACGATGAACGAAGAATGAAGAACACTTTCTTCAAGGGTCGTCGGGGCTTGATCTTGAATTTGGTGGAAGTTCTTCACGGGGCCGTCGGGGCTTGATCTTGAAGGTGGATGATTGTTGATCCAAGGGGCCGTCGGGGCTTGATCTTGGAAGAATGATGAATGAAGAACGAAGAACACTTTCTTCAAGGGCCGTCGGGGCTTGATCTTGGAAGAATGATGAACGAAGAATGAAGAACGAAGAACGAAGAACGAAAAACACTTTCTTCAAGGGCCGTCGGGGCTTGATCTTGAAGGTGGATGATTGTTGATCGAAAAGGGCTTTCTTGATCTTTCAGGAATTGCTTGAGAGCTTCGGAGTTTCAGAGCTTCAGAGCTTCAAGGTGTAATATGGATTCCTCCCCAAATGAATGAAATTGGCTTCTATTTATAGAATTTTCCAAGGCCTAATTTTGAATATAATATTCCAGATGAAATAAGTCGTTTCTGCCAAGTGTTGACACGTGTCCTGTTTGATGACTTTTCCGATGATTCTCGATTTTTTGTTTAGACACACGCTACGTGTAAAATTTATGTAATACATGAGCGCTGAAACTTTGATTTATCGGTCAACATTTATTTACCGAAATTTCGATGTCTACAAATGCCCCCACTTCAAGGCGCGTCGTATACATGTGCTTGTCATGTAGGAGATGTGTTTTGAAGTCCCTTATTGTAGATGTCGATCCAAGGGCCGTCGGGGCTTGAACTTGAATTGGGCTGGAAATTTCTTCAAGGGCTGTCAAGGCTTGATCTTGAATTTGTTTGGAATTTCTTCAAGGGCCGGCGAGGCTTGATCTTGAAGGTTGAAATTGGACCACAAGGAGCTTCATGTGGTAGATGATCTTTGGCTTGGGTAGTGGATGAATCGGCACGTATTTGTTTTTTGCGCTTTGTTGACTTTCCACAGCTTTGATCTTGAACTAGGTTGGAGGATTTTCTGGATTCCTCCAATTGTTGATTTTCCACAGCTTATTCTTGAACTAGGTTTTGATTCAAGAGTGGTAGACAATTGATCTTGAATCGGACTTGTGATTTCTTCAAGGGCTGTCGAGGCTTGATCTTGAATTTGGCCGGAAACTTCTTCAAGGGCCGTTGAGGCTTGATTCTTGAAGGTTGACTCGAACACATGGCAAGCATGCACGAGGTGAAGGTGACGACTTGTTGCTTTGTTCAATCTTTCTAATTCACACCTGAGCAGTTTGGTCAACGGTATGATCTTCAAGATTGATGGGCTCTTCTTCCAGTTGGTGACTTGATCTTTAAGGATTTGATTCAAGGGTGGTGAAACGGCACATGCAGCCCACAACGCCTAGCAAGTCAACCCAAGAATTTGAGGGTCAAAACGAATCCTCCACCCAGAGTGATTGCAAACCTGATGATATGAGATACTTTTGATTTTGAAGAAGTAGCGGATGAATCGACACATGCTTTGTTGTGCTTGTCTCCACATGCTTCAATGTATCATTTTCCCTTGTCTTATCTATTCTTCTGGCAAAATGTAGCATCTTCTCGAGTTCTTCAGCTCAAACTCCTTCTGCTGAGCTGACTGTGCAGGCTGCATTCTTCTCTGCTTGTTTCTTCAGGCAGATGTGGCAGCTTCTTGAATTCCTCAGCTCGGACTCCTTCTGCTGAGCTGACTGTGAAGACTGCATTCTTCTCTGCTTGTTTCTTCTGCACGTTGTCTCCACATGCTGCAAGGTATCATTTTCACTTGCCTTATCTGTTCTCCAGGCAAATGTGGTATCCGAGTTTGAGTGAAGGTTCCGGCATATTGTTTTCTTTATCCTTGTCTTTGTAGGTAAGAACAAGGACAAAGGAAAGGACAGAAAGAACGCATGATATGAGATACTCTTGCTTTCTACCCTGGTGATATGAGATACTTTTGCTTTGGTGTCATTTGTTTGCAGAGGTACCCCAAGGAATAAGAAACACTGAGTGACTCGAGAGGCTTCGTTGGGAAGGTATTCTCGGAGATAAAGAAAGGTTCTCGGAGATGAAGAAAGGTTATGTATGTCTGCCTTGCTATGGAGGGTGAAGGTGGACAGTTATAGGAAATTCTTTAGTACCTGTAGAGGTACTATTCTTTTACTCGTGTCGGCAACCAATGCGTGATTGATCAGTATGGCTTCACGTGCTTTCTTCTTTATCAGAAATTTTCGACAAATTGTCTGTAATTTTCGTCAAGCTGAGTGTGCATGTGACAGGTGTTGACGAGGCTGAAAAAGACTGGCGCCTCTTCGATATCTGGGATCGGCGCTTCGACAAATTGCCCGTGATTTCCGCAAAGCTGAGTTTGCGCATGACGGGTGCTGACGAGGCTGAAAAAGACTGGCGCCTCTTCGATATCTGGGATTGGCGCTTTAACAAATTACCCGTGATTTCCGCAAAGCTGAGTTTGCGTGTGACGGGTGCTGACGCGTCTGGAAAAGCAAGATGCTTCTCCGATTTCTGAGCTTGCCTCTTTGATTTTTGAATTGGCCTCTTCGAATTCTGAGCTTGCCTCTTCGATCTTTGAAATCCCGTCGAGTGTTGATCTTTATAGAGGCACGCAGTTCGTTTCAAAGCACACTTGAATTTTCGCTTGTAGAAACTCCCTTCTTGCACTTCTAAGATCTTGATTTGTCCGACCTCTTCTTTCTTCAACACCTTTGAAAATGTCTGGACCCTCCGACCGTCGTTTTGATTTGAACCTTGGTGAAGAGGTAGTCCCGCCTTCTCCAGACAACATATGGCGTCCATCCTTCATATCCCCTACTGGTCCTCTTACCGTTGGGGATTCGATGATGAAGAATGATATGACCGCTGTGGTGGTGGCCCGGAACCTTGTCACTCCCAAAGATAACAGACTACTTTCCAAGCGGTCTGATGAGTTGGCTGTTAAGGATTCTCTGGCTCTCAGTGTGCAGTGTGCAGGTTCTGTGTCTAATATGGCCCAACGCCTATTTGCTCGAACCCGTCAAGTTGAATCCTTGGCAGCTGAAGTGATGAGTCTCAAACAGGAGATTAGGGGGCTTAAGCATGAGAATAAAAAGTTGCACAGGCTTGCACATAGCTATGCTACAAACATGAAGAGGAAGATTAGCCAAATGCAGGAATCTGACGGTTAGATTTTACTTTATCATCAGAGGTTTGTGGGTTTGTTCCAACAGCATTTGCCTTCGTCTTCTGGGGCTGTACCGCATAATGAAGTTCCAAATGATCAACCTTTGGTGCCTTCTCCTTCTGGGGTTCCGCCAAGTGATGATGCTCTGAATAATCACCCTCTGGTGCCTCTTCGATCTGGGGCTCCGCCGAGTACTGAGGCGCCACCTGATCAATGAAGGCTTTTGTTTGCACTTTTATTATTTTTTTTTTTGGCATGTAAATGTTCCGTCTGTAATTTTTCCAGAGAAATCAATGAAATGGACTTTATTTCTCTCAATGCATTTGTTTTTTTTTTTCATGTGGTGCAATCCGCACCATCCCCCCATTACTTTATATATTCTTTTTTTTTTTTTTCATATGGTGCAATCTGCACCATCCCACACATTACTTTATATATTATTTTTTTTCTTTTTTTTTTCATAAGGTGCAATCTGCACCATCCCACCCATTACTTTATATATATATATATATATATATATTATTATTATTATTTTATTTGTCTTTTCAGATGGTGCAATCCGCACCATCCCCTTTTTTTATTTTATTTTATTATATATATGTATATTTTAGGGTGGTGGCTGACACCATCATTTTTTATTTTTATATATATTTTTTTTTTTTCACTTTCAATGCCGGGTGCACCAAAATTTATTTTTTCATGCACACATACATACATACGTACATACATATACATACATATATATATATATATATATATATATATATATATATAGGGTGCGGGATAGGAGCTTAGATGAGGAAGAAGGAAGAAGGTGGCAGGCGCCGTTGGTTTGGAGACGGACGTAGAGGTTTCGAAGTTGGGCAGGGATGGTGATGGACTTGGCAGCGGAGGCAGAGGAAGAAGAAGACGTGGCGGATGATGAGAGACAGGAGATTTGCAAGAAGAGGCCCTCGTGAACACCAGCACCGCTAACGACCCTTGGAATTACCGTCAGCACCGTCAGCACCATGTGCGCTTCATACCACTTAGAGCTCGGCTTGCTCCCCGCCGCCGCGCATCCAGATGTAGCCCCGGCAATTGTCAGCACTTGGAGCATGATCAAGAAGAAGCCGCACACCGACGGCAGCAACCTCAGAGACAGCGTCAGGAATATGCAGATAGGGGTAAGGGACCAGGTGACGGTGAGGTGGAGGTGTGGGTGCTATAAGCTCACCTACTTTTCCTTTCCCTTTATCATTCCTACCAACAGTTGCAATCTTGGGTGCTGGCATCGTCTCTAATGACATATCCAAGGACTGCAGGTCTTCATGAAGAGTTCCCTCAAGAATCCTCTGAATAACTTCCTCAGGATTGTGGTTATAGGCTTCAAGACAAGAAGCTAAGAAACCTTTTCCATAATCAGGGAACAGGTCCTTTATTTGACTGATTCGCGACTCCACAATTGCAACATCTTCATCTAACTGCACCTTCTTGTTTGTCAAATCGGCTTTCGTACTGGGCTGCTCCTTAACTATGAGTTTCTGAGTAGACATAAGTATTCCATATACATACCCCAGCTGCTCATCATCCATGATTTATCCATCCACTCTTTTGTAAATTCTCCATTTTGCTCATAATGTTGAAGTTCTTTTCAATATTTTGAAGAAATGTTTGCCTATTCTGGTTCTCCTGAGCACATACGGAAATTCCATTAATCTCTCTTAAAGTTTGAACCAGTATATCTGATCTAATGAAAAGATCCTCCACTTTGGCTGGAAACATCTCCGCAGCAGCTGGAATGGGGAGGTTATCTTTGAAGGCCTCATCACTTAGATAGCACAAATCCAATAGTTTCCAACCGAATCTGACAATTCTCTTTGATAACATCTTCAACTTAAAGCAATATTTAGACACCATTTTATCTTCTCCATCTGCTGAAATTATTTGAAATCCATGCTGCAAAGATGGAAGTAATGAATCATGCAACCTTGCTAGAATGCTTAGTAATGCCTCGTTCCCATGACTGGTTTCAACAGGGCACAACAAGAAGACAGCAGATGGTTCGTATGCAGTTAAGAAAGCATCCATGGATACAATTGCATCGTTGATGAAGTCCATAACTTCCAATAAATCAGCAAGAAGACGGCTGGATCCATGTTCTCCAGTGTTTCCAGAGGAAAAAAGGGTCTCCAAGGCTGAGCTACTACGTTGGTACATTGTTTGGACAATGCTAAGGAAATGTGATGCTACTGCAGTCAAATTGTCACGGATCCTAGTATGAACTTTTACTGCATTGCCAACCAGCACTCTGGTCAAATCTTCATTTTCATGACCATATATAGCATATATGTCTAACAACTTAGGCAAGTCAAGCAACTTCATCTCCTGCAAAAGAACTTCATGGTCTTGTGGACTGAGACTATCAGCATGACGAGCGCCAGGATCCCTATTAGAAGATATTCGATATAATACCATGAACAGACGGCGGCTCAATTCAAACTCCCTAACAATGACCCCCGCCACCAATTCCTTGGCGCTGCGATGAGGGAAATCATACCACCTACTCCTAAACTATAGAAAGCTATCCAGAAATTCATGCAACGATGTATCACTAGCCACTTGTCGCCAAAAAACTCCTTAGGGTTTAACTTCAGCAGGCGAGAGAGCTCTCTATTAAGAAGATCCACCACTCTCTGCGACTCCAGGGCGTCCAATACGCCTTCGTCGGCGCCGAGCCCAGCCGCCACCGCCTCATCCTGGGGCAAGTAACTTACGAAATTGCCACCCTGAGCTCTGCTCGGCACCCACTCACCTTTGTCCCCCATCCGAACCCTGCTCCCCGACGGCGGCACCGAAGCAGCGGTGGAAGTTTCGGCATTGGATTGCTGCTTGGATAACGATTACCGGAGAGAGGTGGAGAGCGTGGGATTGGGATTGGGATTGAGATTGGAGGCGGATCTAGAGAGGGCGTTCCAGAACTTAAAGTCTCGGCCGACGGCGGTAGTGTATCTGGCGACAAAACTCGGCGACAGAGGACTCGGAGTGGACTCGGGTGTCTAGCGGTTGCTGGTCCCATTTGTGTGGAGGCTTTTGGGGTTCGAAGGTTCAAGAGAGAACTAGGCATGGGCTGAGGTTGGAGGCTAGACCTGTTACAAGCATTTGAGATGAGACTTCGAGAGTTGGGCCTGAGCTTGGATTTAGGCTTTGATAACCGTGTCTGGGCCTAGGCCTGGAGGGAGAGGGACGACAAGCTGGAGCTTGGGCCTGGATGGCCTCCTTTTGAGAGGCTTGCTGCTGATGGACATACATACATACATATTTATATATATATATGTATGTATATGTATGTAAAAGAAATCCTCTTTTTTTTTATTATTATTTTTTTTTATTTTTTTTATTTTTGTAAATACATAATAACATATGTATTCATTTTTTTTTCTTTTTGTAATAAAATTGACTCTATTTAATAAAACAATTTTTTTTTTGATGTGACTGAACTTGAAATTGAATATTCAAGCTGCCTACGTACCCTTCCAAAGAAAGAGACCAAGTCAAAACGTAGTTCAAATGAGCGATGAATTTAACAATGATTTTTTATGATGATTTTGATGGTGGTTTTGATGGTGGTTTTGCCGTACACAGTTTATGCTCTTGCGGGCCAGGAGCTTTTGGTGCCGTTTGCAGTTTCAACTCGTGCAGGCAATGAGCGTTTGTTGTCGCCTTTTATGCTCGTGCGAACCAGGAGCGTTTGTTGTCGCCTTTTATGCTTGTGCGGACCAGGAGCGTTGATGTTGCCTTTTATGCTCGTGCAGACCAGGAGCTTGGGTGTCCTGCAGTTTAGGCTCTTGTGGACAATGAGCTTTGGTGTTGCCTTTTATGCTCGTGCAGACCAGGAGCTTAATGCCATGCAGTTTAGGCTCGTGCAGGTGAGGAGCCTTGGTTCGTGCAGTTTAGGCTCGTGCGAACAAGGAGCATTGGTGTATTTGTCAAACGATCCTGGAGAGGTATTCCTTGCAATTTTCATAGCAAGGAGTCTTGACCGAGTGATTGAAGAAGTCTTCAGGAAAGAAATCGCGCATCGTGATGGGGATGGACGATCTATGTGTCGAAATTTCATCATCTTCAACACGTTCATGTTGCTTTGAAGGTTGACAAGAGCTGCTTTGCCCCCTTTCTGATTGGCGGACTTGTGAAGGAGACGTATGCTTCTTGTGCAATTTCTTAGGAGTGACTTGAGTCCATCCTTCAACTTTGCTTGTCTTGGAGGATGCCCCCAGCGGTTGAGGTAAAGACTTTGAGTCGAAAGAGCCAGAAGTGACCGTGGTATAGTTTGACTTCACCACATCGTCAAGATCTAGCTCGATGATTCCTTTCTGAGCCAGTTTCATGATGAGATCTTTCAGCACGAAGCACTTTTCCGTCGGATGACTGATGAAGCGGTGGAATTTACAGTACCTTGGACTGTCGGTGCGATTCATCTCTTCTGGCCGTCTGCACTCAGGCAAGTCGATCACCTTCTTTTCTAGCAAGTCTTCTAACATGGCAACCACATCAGAGTCGGGGAATGGATAAGTTTTCTCTTCAAGCTCTTTCAAAGTGCGTCTACGTATCTCTTGATCATGAAAAGCTTCAGCTTGAATCGCCTTGCCTCGTGTAGGGATTTTGACGGGAGATGTGTTGACTGTCATTGCTTCCTTGGTGGATTTCCACGTAGCCTTCTCCACCTTTGTCTCAAGGACTTTGTCGTTCTTGTAGTCGGCGATCGGTTCCTTCTTCCCATGGTGGGCGATGCTCAGTTCCATGTCGTGGGCACGGGTGGCTAATTCTTCAAAAGTCCATGGCTTGATACCTTGAAGGATGTATTGTAACCCCATTGCATGCCCTGGATGCACATCTCGATTGAAGAAATCTCGGAGAGCTTGTCCTTACAGTCGAGGCTTAGATTACACCATCGGTTGATGTAGTCCATGACTGGTTCTTCCCTCCATTGTTTCGTGCTCGTCAGCTCCAGCATGCTCACAGTGCGGCGGGTACTGTAGAAGCGGTTGAGGAATTCCTTTTCCAACTGTTCCCAGCTGTTGATGGACTCGGGCTTCAGGTCTGTGTACCACTCAAAGGCGTTTCCTTTTAACGAGCGCACAAACTGTTTGGCGAGGTAATCTCCCTCCGTCCCTGCATTGTTGCAGGTTTCGACGAAATGTGCGACATGTTGCTTTGGGTTTCCCTTTCCGTCAAATTGTATAAACTTCGGCGGTTGATAGCCCTTCGGCATCCTTAAGGCATCGATCTTCCTAGAGTAAGGCTTCGAGTACAACGTGGAGGCATGAGAGCTTCCTTCATACTGTGCCTTGATGGTGTTGGTGATCATCTCTTGCAGCTGCTGGATAGAAAGAGATCCCATGAGTGCCGCTGCTTGGTCTGGCTCCGGCTTCACATCGATTTTCTTCACCGGGGGCTCGTCTTCTTCGTCGTCTTCCTTCTTCAGATGATCAATCTTCGGGTTGGGTTTCTCGCCATCCTGCGGCTCCAGTCAGTTGATGAGTGCTGCAATTTGTAAGTCTTTTTCTTCCACAGTTCGGGTTAACCTTGCAATTGCTTCATTCATCTGAGCCAGCTGCTCATCGATTGAAGTTGCTCCGGTAACCATAACTTGCATGGATGTGCTGTCGCTTGAGTCAGCATCGGAAAACAAAGACTCGGAGTACTTCTTCGGGCTTTCCTCCCTTGGTGCCCTTAGCGAGGCCAGGGTGATCATAGGTTCGTACCTCGGGTACTCTTGTTCCTTTGGCAGGGTTGATGTAGGGGTGGAAGAGGAGGCAACAAGAGCTCTTGCCTTGCTTCGAGTTACGATGCTTGAAATGGCGCCGCCTGCGGCAAGGATGCTCTTGTTCTTCGTGTTGGTTCTGGGAACAGCTTGAGCCTTCCTTGAAGCCATTAATTTTGGAAGTGTGCTCGAATTTCTTGAACGGAGAAAGAGATGAGAGGTAGAGATTGTCCCACTGGGCGTGCCAATTTGTGAACACGGAAAATTCCTGAAACGAAAGAGACAAGAACAACGTGCACAAACAAATATTTGTATTTGATGATTTTGGGTTACAATCTCTCTCAAATTTGATCCTCTGATTCAATCTCCGTAAGGTGTTGATTTGTGGATGTGCGATTGATCCAAAGGGCCGTTGGGCTTGATCTAAGGATGAACGTTCTTCAAGGGCCGTGGACTTGATCTTGATGGTGGATTTGAGCAGATCTTCAAAGGGGCTTTTGGGCTTGATCTTTGAAGAACAGTGATGAACGGATCTCCAGGGGCTTTTGGGCTTTGATCTTAAAGAACGGTTGGACGTGTGGATTTGTTGATGTTGTTGATCCAAGGGGCCGTCGGGGCTTGATCTTAGAAGAACGATGAACGAAGAATGAAGAACACTTTCTTCAAGGGGCCGTCGGGGCTTGATCTTGAAGGTGGATGATTGTTGATCCAAGGGGCCGTCGGGGCTTGATCTTGGAAGAATGATGAATGAAGAACGAAGAACACTTTCTTCAAGGGCCGTCGGGGCTTGATCTTGGAAGAATGATGAACGAAGAACGAAGAACGAAGAACGAAGAACGAAGAACGAATAACACTTTCTTCAAGGGCCGTCGGGGCTTGATCTTGAAGGTGGATGATTGTTGATCGAAAAGGGCTTTCTTGATCTTTCGGGAATTGCTTGAGAGCTTCGGAGTTTCAGAGCTTCAGAGCTTCAAGGTGTAATATGAATTCCTCCCCAAATGAATGAAATTGGCTTCTATTATAGAATTTTCCAAGGCCTAATTTTGAATATAATATTCCAGATGAAATAAGTCGTTTCTGCCAGGTGTTGACACGTGTCCTGTTTGATGACTTTTCCGATGATTCTCGATTTTTTTGTTTAGACACACGCTACGTGTAAAATTTATGTAATACATGAGCGCTGAAACTTTGATTTATCGGTCAACATTTATTTACCGAAATTTCGATGTCTACAAAAATGTCTTTGACATTAAAAGTAAATAGTACCAAGAATGTTTTGCTAAGATTCCAGTTATTTGAGGGGAGGGGAATGAGTCCATCAAGTCACGTGTGGGCTTAGTTGACTTTGTAATTATGGTTTTCGACAATCTTAAAGTTTAAAAGGTGGAACACTAATTAAGTATGCTTTTCAATTTTGAGTTTATCTAGTTAAGGTAACATATATGTATATATGAAAGGTTGATTCACCGTGTTTCAGGTTTGGAAAATCTAATTGTGAATCTTTGGGATGAAAATTATTGCGACTTTCTTTCTTAATTAATAGTTAATTGCTAAGAAGATTAATTTTTTAGGCCGAATATATTTTAGATTTATCTTTTTATTTTGACACGGGGATATTCTAAACTAGTTAAATCTATATAGGGAAATAATAATAGGTGGAATTTTGATTAGAGAAATGACTAAATACTTTGAATCTATTTAAGTGTAATTCTTAATTTTGCATATACCCATGTAAGGAAACATGTATAAATGCACAAATATGTGTATATAAGAGGACCTATCTAGCGGTAACATGCATTATAAACCTAGGTAAGGCTTCATTCTCCTTGAAACTAGAGTGAAGGCATAAAATTTGTAGTCAATTAAACATGGCGAGACTCTCATGGTTTCCAATTGCTTTCTTTCTAGTCGTTGCCTTGAGCTGTGCCATTGATGTCATGGTAATAACTCTCATACACTCGTTGTTAAATTAAGCATCTTTTTTCCGCGTGTTTATCTTCAAAGTTGATTACATTTTCTTTGCGCAGGCTGGCGGCGAGGGATCACTTCGTCATGAACGTATGCATATTACTTGTCAAACTCTTGTTCTTAAAATGATTTCAGCTAATTTAATACATAATTGATACAAAATTCAAATTACTTGATATATTATTTATTTTTAATCAGAATGTGGAGCGGCATGTGACTACCGATGTTCAGAAACTTCACATAAGAACCCATGCATAGAGTTCTGCAGCATGTGCTGCCAGAAATGTCTATGTGTTCCATCAGGCACATATGGACATAAGGAAGAATGTCCATGCTATGACAACTGGAAGACGAAAGAAGGAGGTCCCAAGTGCCCATAAAGCCAAACGAGTTTATTACACAACGTTTAAGAACTACATTAACTGGCTATTACGAATCGAAAATGCAGATTTGTTCTTGCAAATCCAATCCATAGACTACCTGGAATAATTGCTATTTACTATATTCATCAATAAGAAAATGAATTCTTTGTTAGATATGGTGTCAAAGTAATCTACACTCTTTTTTCCTTTTTTGCACATTCTCTCACTTTAACCAAACGATATGAAACTCAACCAACAATAATCTGTTCAAGTTTTTCTTAATCAAACAACAATTGTCAAATCTGCTCCAACATTGCTGTCACGGAAAAACGTTGTTGTGAATACAATAAATAATAAAGGAACGCAATAAGTTAAAGGGGACTCGTAGTCTTACCCATGGTATAAAATATCAATGATATCGGAAATATCGGTAGTCCAAAAACATGGAAATTTCAATAGAAATATTAGAATATTATCGATATCGATAAAAATTGAATAAAAACCACGGAAATTATAAGAAAACATGGAAATTTTTATTGAAACTTTGGAGAATGTTTATTTAGTCAATTATCTATTAGTTTATCAAAAAAAAATTAGAAGGAAATGCATTACATGATAGATTTAACTGATTTAAATTGATTATACAGCGAGCTAGCAAACACTGTGAGTGTAGAAAATATGTAGTAATTAATGAAAAAAAGATTAAATACACCATAATCATTTATATATAATGATTTACTACAATATTTTACACTTTATACATTGCATGGTAAGATACATGAGTGATTTAGTACCACATAAAGTTCCTATGAGGTTCAAAATTTTCACAATCTTCATCATCTCTATGTGTAGAGTAAGTTTATTGTGAAGAGTATTCATCAAATGATAAATCCCCAAAATAGTTTTGCATGTAATTGTTAACATGTCACTCATATAAATATAAATATTTTAGCATATTATCACTAAAACATAAGTGATATATGGTGGTTACGATGTTGGAGGAGTAAAATGGGAGGGGTTCAAATCACCTTTGTGTTTTGTTTTCCTCCTTTTTTTCCCTTTTTTTCCTTTTTTTTTTCTTTTTTTTTTCCTTCCTTTACATCGATATTTTCGATATTTTAGCGATATTACACCGATATTTTGACAAAATATTGCTAAAGTGTGAGCGAAATTATTGACATCGATATTTTCCGATATTGTCGATATTTGTACAATATGTACATGGATATGTTCCGAAATATCCGTGATTCGAAAAAAATGAAATATCCTCGATATTTCGTCGATATTATCGATATTTCAGACTATGGTCTTACCAAACCAAGTGTCTATAAAAGCTATTAGAAACAAAAAAAAAATCGATATTTTCCGATATTATATATTGTCGATATTTGTACGATATGTACTGGATATGTTCCGAAATATCCGTGATTCGAAAAAACCGAAATATCCTCGATATTTCGTCGATACTATCGATATTTCAGACTATAGTCTTACCGAACCAAGTGTCTATAAAAGCTATCAAAAACAAACAAACAAAAAAAAAAAAAATATATATATATATATATATATACTGAAAATATGACTTTAGCCTGTGAAATTTAATTTTCTCCACATAAAACCCATCATAATTTTTTTTACTCAAATAAAACCCATTAATTAGATTCTACATCAGCAAATTCATTAATTATATTTGACTTTACACATTTAAAAATTTTCAATGCCCAAAACACCCCTATTTGAATGTTTGATGTACACAATTAGTTCCATATAGATTGTAAGGGAGAATTAATGATATTACGAAAATAATAAATAATAAATTTATTGCCTAATATATAATAACAACAAAACATGCCTAATATATGTAATAATACATGCTTAGTTAAGTGAACAAATTATATTTTACATATAAATGTAGGTAAATTATTTCACACACATATATATAACAAAAATTAAAAATAAAAAAATGCCTAGTATACGTAAAAATTCATGCAAAATAATTTACCTACAAAAAATGTTATTTGATTCAGTGCACCTACTATTCAAATTTTAAAATGTTAGATTGCTTAAAAAAACCAAAATAATTTCCCCACTGTATGTAAAATACATGCAAAATAATTTACCTACATAATAAAGCAAACCTAATGTATGCAAAATAATGTACCTACATAAAAAAATATTATTATTTTATTAAAAACTATTTTACCTATTATTTTGTACATATAATAATAAAATGTGCCCAATATATATGATGATACATACAAAATAATATACCTACAAAATATATGTTATTTGCTCATCATAAATTTACATATAGGTAGATTAATTAGTATAATATGTTTGATCATATATCTATTGTGCATACATATGTACATACATACATATACATATATATATTGAGCTTGTGGTAGTACTATATACATTTGAACGTATATATGTGTATATATATATATATGTGTGTGTGTGTGTGTGTGTGTGTTAGGGGTAATAATATGCAATAAATTATTTGTTCATTGTAATTAAGGTGAGTAATAATATTTATTGATTTATTTTGAATATTGTGGTACAAGTTATAAATATTTTGTATTAATAGGTCAATTACTTTCCTACATGGTAATCACTTTTAAATTTGAGTTTTATTTGAATGTTTATAATTAGGTGGGTTTTTATATAGGAAATAAGAGTTACAAGGTGTATATATATATTAAAATGAAAGACCAGGAAAGTACGACGAGCTCAAACCAACTACGAAACTCTAATATAGGAAAATTCATTAGAACAACCTCTAAAAGAATGAGAAGCTTGAAAGCTACAAAGATCATGAACAAAAGCTACACCAGCAGA